TTTTTTTTTTTTTTTTTTTTTTTTTTTTTTTTTTTTTTTTTTTTTTTTTTTTTTTTATAAATATGACCGGTAAGGGGATCTTAACCCTTGACTTGGTGTTGTCAGCACCACGCTCAGCCAGTGAGCGAACCGGCCATCCCTATGTGGGATCCGAACCCGGGGCTTTGGTGTTATCAGCACCGCACTCTCCCGAGTGAGCCACGGGCCAGCCCCATCTCTTTGCATTTCTGTAGCTTTTAATTTATATAATTAGTTGGCATTTTTTTATGTGAACTTTTTTTTTTTTTGCCTTTTGATTTTTTTTTATTACTCAAAACAGCTTTATTTTTAAATTTAGCTTTCGGACTCTGTGCTTGTGCCGTCAATGCTTTCACAATGACTGCCTGCTCCTCAGTAAGGAAAGCACGCTTGACCCTGTCACAGACACAGTTAGCACACATGGAGCCGCCATAACATGTTTTTTTCATTGTAGGCAACCTCATAAGAACTTGAGGTCTCACAACATGAACCACTGGAAGTCTGCCTGGACACACACTACATGCAGATTTCAGTGCTTTCCCAACCTTCTTGGTATAAAGGTAAACAGTTCTGTTACCAGGGGTCCGGGACAGTCCAGTTTTGTTGGAGGCGGTATTGTAGGAAAGCCTGCCTACGATGGTGTGTCAGACGCTGGGCCATTCTGAGTGCCTCTAGATGCTGTCCCCAGAACAGCTGAAAATTCTTAAGTATTACAAGAACTGCCTAAAAGTGAATGGCACCTTTTATCAAACGTAAAGCATTTTGTACCTTTTCATGATTTTTGACCTTGAATTCTATTTTGTCTGATGTTTGTATTGCCACATATCATTTTATTTTGTTCTTCTGCATTCTTTCAGTTACATTTATTTTTTTAATTTGTACTTTAAAATACCTTTAAGAATAACGTTCATTAAAATTTTCATATTCTTTAACTTTGCATATTTTATATCCCCGTTTTACACTATAAATTGAATATAGTTGAATGTAGTTTTATTTTCTCATTTGGCTCAAAAAGTGTGTTTTCTTTGCTTTAAGTTTTTATTAAAATTTGGCAAATAATTATCATGGTTTTAATTCAAATAACCTTGAAATTCTCCTTATGCCGGCTGTGAAAATTAGTAAGTTTTTACTTCTTCTGCCTCAGATCAGTAAATTTTTAACAATATCATCGATGGTTATAGATCACGATTATTATTTTTATTTAATTTTTATGATACATAACTTCTACTTCAAGTACCATTTTACCATGTATTCAATGTTGTCTACTCATTGAAATAGATATGTAGACAATCTATATATGTAACTGTTAATTTCACTAAAGTCCCTTTGTTTCCAATATTCTCATTTTTAGATTTGCTTACTCTTTTATTCCATTTCTTATCTTTGTGTACTGAAACCTCATTAAGATTGGACACAATGTTTTCTCACTCCTTGAATATCTGATGATATATTTTTGCTTCCTTTGGCCAGGCACAGCATTTGGCTACATAATGTTACACTCAGTCGTCTAAAAATTAGAAAATACTCATTATAATAGAACACACTATAACTTTCAAATTGTTGAATTATTTGAAAAAAAGCTTGAACTCACAATATATTTTTCATACACTATATGTACAAGAATTGTTACCATATAGCAAGCCTACGTAGCCTAGTATTTCATATTTCACAATGGTTCATTTTATATGTTTATAATAATTTTCATGATTTCACTTAAAACAATGAAGAATAGATTGAATTTTTTTCACAAGCTGGAAAACTGGTTCTTGAAAATAACGCATTTCTGAAAATATAGATTATTTATATTTAAATATTATATTTAGAATTTATTTTCATTTATCTCATATAAGAAATAGGCACCATCTCTTCCAACATTAATTTTGAGGTTAAAAGGAATGCTTTATTTCTGCACAGGGTTTCATAGTTTTGAAATCATTTTTGCCTCCATTGTCCCATTTCATCCAAGATTACCCTCAAGATTACCAACAAGATTTTACTGAGGAGGGGACTGAGTATCATTGAGGAGAAGTAATTTGGACATGTTCACAAACCTTTTAAGTGGCAGAGTTGGGGCTAAAACACAGGTTTTTTTGTCTCCAACTGCAGTGTTCCAGTTCTGTAAAATATACTGTCTTTCTCAGTCAGCTTGGGCTGCTCTAATAAATACTATAAAATGCGTGGCTTAAACAACAGAAACCTATTTTCTGACAGTTCTGGTGGCTAGAAAGTCCACCGTAAAGGTCTAGCAGGGTGTGGTTTCTGGTGAGGGCTCTCTTCCTAGCTTGCTGTTGGCCACCTTCTCCCCGTGTCCTCACGTGGCCTTTCCTTGGTGTGTATGTAGAAAGACAGTAATTTCATTTTTCCTCTTTTTATAAAGCTACCAATCCTACTGGATTAAAACCCCACCACTGTTACCTTATTTAATCTTAATTATCTCCTAAACGTCCTGTCTCCAAATACAGTTAGACTGGGATTAGATCTTTAACACTTGAATTTGGGGGAAACAATATCAATCTGTAGCACACTTTTCAAAATATGGTCAAAATCCTTCTACAAAAATGATACTCTTCTAGTAGAAAAATGATCCTACCTTGAGTCTAACTATAAATCCTTGAAACAAGACAGTTCAGACTTATTGGGAAGAGGGAGGATATCTTTTGGGATGTTGATTCTAAAGAGATAAAAATAATAGATACCCTGCTTCCTTAATAATGGCTATAAGATGTACGCCAATTAGTTGCTTTTTCTAAATAAATAATTAAAAAGAAAATTTTACATTGATTTGAAAAATTGCTATAATTGTTGATAGCAGTTGGTTAAGTTTAACCAAACTCAAAAAACAATAATTTTAGGTTTTTTTTTTTTTTTTTTAAGAATTAAAATCCTCTATGAGAGTGGTAGAAGAACATGTCTTTTTTTTTTTCTTTTTGTGACTGGTAAGGGGATCGTAACCTTTGGCTTGGTGTCACCCGCACTGTGCTCAGCCAGTGAGCGCACCGGCCATCCCTATATAGGATCCAACCCACGGCCTCCGCGCTCCCAGTGCCACACTCGCCCATGTGAACCACGGGGCCGGCCCGGAACATGTCTTGAAAACTTACATAGACTTGAAGGAGTTACACATCCTATTGAAAGATACCCCCAAAATTCACATGTAGCAAATGAAAAGCAAGACAGAAAAAGGGAATGGTGGGGGACGGGGACAGAAAACAGGGACGATGATTGCTGTAATCTGGTGGGATAGATAACACTTATTTTCATTGTCCTAATTATGTTTCACATTATAAAAGTTAATGTTGCAAAAAATCATTTTAAAAATCATAAAAAGCATTCACGCTAGTGCATCATCCAGTTAAAACTTTAAAATAAAATAAAAAACACAATACTTTAGTAATGCCAAGGTACATTTTAGAAAGTTTTATAGTAAAATTCAAATCTTTCCTGAATGCTGTTGTCTATTTAGTTATGTAGTCAAACATACTTGGTGATATTACAATTACACGGCTATTCTTTATTTAGTTTATAGTTCACATTATTTTAACCATAATTACCACTTAAAATTTTTAGGGCTGCAAAGCCAAATATTCTATAACAAGTAACCCTTAACAACTTTCAATATGTAATCTTAAATGTTTTTGATGGTTTCTGCTTATTTTGTTGACAAGTTGTCTTTTTTAATTCTATTACATGGTCAGTAAATTTCCCACCAATTATAGGGGGGGAAACCTACAATTTTAAAGGGGTGAAGAATGATGCCTTTATCCTATGGAGCTTTCTTTAAAAATTCTTTCCAACCAAAATTATAAGGTCTCTCAAAATTGAAAAGGCTAGCTGATATTCTTTATGATTGATGTGATGGGCAAAAAGAATCACCACTGTCATCAATCTTCCACATCTCTGAGAAGCTTATTAGTAGGAAAACTAAAGTGAATTTTCTCTTCAGTGTCCCTATGGGTAAGTATGAGAGTCTCTCACTCTGCAGTCTTCCCCCATATACAAATGCAGCTACTGATCGCTCCCTTCTGTATCAAGAAAGTGGCTGGAATGACTAGCCAGGGGAGCCATCCACAGGTGAGTGGGCCTATTTTGGTAAACTGTGAGTAGGTCAAGGGCTTTATTCTTTAGGTTTTAAGGATATTGTTATTATTTATTGAATGAGTGAATTAATGAGTATTGGGTGTTTGGAATGAACATAAACAGGTAGACAGGCACACAGGTCTGCCCATGCCCCCAACCTCACACATATTCCTCTAAAAACTCTCACAGGACACTCCATTTTGTAATGATTGCACAAAGGCCCTTCAGTTTACATCTGCAAATTCAAGTCTACCCACATGTGAGTTTTATTTAACCACAGATTAAGTATGAATAAACATTAAAATTTTTTTTTTAAAAAAATGCTATTCAGTGAGCTCCAACTATGTGTCAGGAGTCTTAAACATGTTATCTCACTTAACCCTTAGAAGGAGTTCTTAGAGACGCTATTAATGCCTGTTTTACATAGGAGAACATAGAGGATTGGAGAGATTCGGTAATTTGCTAGAGTCCCAAAATTAGTGAAGTAGTTAAGGTGCCTTTTTGAAGCCTACATTCCTACAAGACCACATCTTTCCTCAATTGCCCCAAAGGCCTGCTTTTGAGTTTCTGGAGTCAAAAGGGAAAATCCAGCCGAAAAATTGATGAAACTAGAATGTGATACCAAACTTCACATCATAAAGATTAGGATTCAGGGGCCGGCCTGGTGGCGCACTCGATAGAGTGCAGCGCTTGGGAGCGCAGCGGCGCTCCCACCGAGGGTTCGGATCCCATATAGAGACCGGTCCGCTCACTGGTTGAGTGCGGTGCGGGCGCAATGCCGAGGGTTGCGATCCCGTTGCCGGTCGCAGTACAGGTGGGCGCAACACCGAGGGTTGTGATCCCGTTGCTGGTCACGAAAAAAGACAAAAAGGAAAAAAAAAATGATTAGGATTCATTTCTGTGACTTTGAACAGAGTTTCTTTAACTCTCTTCTGTGAACTGATACTTACTACTATCTGAGGAATAAATAAGAGGGGCATTTTCATGTCATGGATAAGTCTACCAGTATTGTTAATCTCTCTAATCTAGGTAGTAGGTCTCCTTTTTTTATTTTTATTGAATCAAAATTGATTATACATATTTTGGGGGTTCAACATTGAGATATGTTGATTAAATCAATATTATTTAGAAGAAAGCAAAGGACAACAAGTTAGTTCCAGTGCAGAGTTTAAATGGTGGGAACAGCAAATAATCCAACACAGAACTGAAAGAAAAAACAAAATACCCACATACCAGAGACAAAGTTTAATATTAACTAGCAAAGGTCTCTCATCACAAAAGAACACCTGTAACACCTAAAATGACCAGAAGTCCGCTGAGCTATCAAGCCAGGGAGAGGGAAGGGCTGGGGGCCTCAGCCACGCCTCACTGACACCCACAACCAGCCAGCGGTGACCACCAAGCTGCTGCAGAAAGCACCCTGGGCTCTCCCAAGCTGTGGCAACCCAAGCTGAGGTGGTGGGGCACCGAGGACCTCAACATGCCTCCCTGACACCTGCAACCAGCCCAGTGATGACCACTGAGTGTGCCGCAAGCAGCTCCCCAGTCTCCCAAGCTGGGGCAGTAGGGGGCGAGGGCTTCAG